CTTCGTGTTTACCTAATGAAACATCACCAACCTGCATCCAGATTATGTCAAAAGACATAGCAAGAATAGTATCAGTACAAAACATGTGTATTGGTAGGCATCATTGGTCAACCCGACGCCCACTGCATAAAATAAGAAATCAACTGGCAGAAACATACAATAAACCACTCGCTTCTCCACCCTTATCCTCTCTTGAATACCTCAGAATTACACTAGCGCCCTTACTATAACTACTAACCACCTTATCGATCAACCTACTACTAGGTTCTTGATCATAGCCTAACCATTCTAACACATTGAGAAGTCCACCAAATACACTATAAGCATACCCACTAACCGCTCGCGTCATACCCTTACTTCCTCTTGATATAACCCACCAAGGCCACATAGAACATTACGTCAAGCTTTCTAACTACTAACACAAATCCCTTTCTCCAAGGTGAAATCCGTCTAAGCATTTTCATCACGTATGGTAGCCCACTTCCTTGCCATTACAACACACAACCCCCTTTTCTCGGATATTAACCATTCTTGAAACATTGACTTCCCTCCTACCGTATCTACTCCCGGTTGGGTATGTTCTTTCCGGTTCACTTTTCATCAAGGTACATATCAAGTTTTCTCATATAGAAGAACAGTCAACATAAGCCCTAATAACCATACAACAACTCCGGCAAATGCAACATCAATTATCATTACGAACACGCACTACACCATTTTAGGCCTAAGACAACACTAAATCTGGACAACACTTGTAAAGTGTTGCCTAAAACATTTTTTGGTACACTTTTGAAGCGTAGCCTTAGTTGTTAGCTTTTGGCCCCTGGAAAAGTGTTGCTTAAAGTCCAAAAGTGTAGCCTTTTATCAAAGGCCACACTTTTTGCTAGTTTAGGCTACATTTTACTGGGGTGGCCGTAGGCCTAAAATGGTGTAGTGAAGGTACAGTTTCACAAACCCCAAGGCATACAATTACATCAAATCATTGGTCATCTCATGGGACCCAAACTCAAACAGTTAACATACCATAACGTGGTACCCCATCCAAGAATTATGCCAGAACGTGGCAACCGATCCAAGTTAGTTATGCCGAAACGTGGCAACCGATCCAAGTTAGTTATGCCGGAACGTGTCAACCGATCCAGTCAACACACCACAATCACAATCACAAGTATATTCTCAAATTCAAACAAATTAGTCATGATTCTTGGCATTCATCATTCATCTATCTCATTTACAACAAGTGTGATCAATAATGCAATATTCATACGCGTACATGTATCATAATGAAGCAAGAACAAGCATACATCACACAATTATAGAATTACAACCATCACCTAACCCTAGATCATCATCTAAGGCTTCTTTCTAGGATTCAACCACAAAACTTTCGGTGCACGAAGGCCTACGCATGAATCCTACCATTGATTTACACATATTACATATTGAACACAAATTATAACTACTCAATTTATAAAACCTAGCCTACATGGGCGCCAAGCAGCTGTACGGAGTTTTGGTCTTCGATTGTTTTTTCCGGGGTTTGTGACGATGATCTTGATCAAAAATTTGCAATCCATTGACATCTTCATGCTATGAATCTCTATCTTCCTTCTTCCCAGGCTTGCAGCAGCTTTTTGGGGGTTTCTAAGGTGTTTTTACAACTAAATTAGGTATTTTAGGAAAAAGGAAAAAATAGGATTTTGCATTATTTGCATTTTGTGTCGCCTATCCTTTCTGGCGCCAACTTATCCCTCCCTGGCGTCGCCTCCCTAGAGGCATCTGGCTCGCCCTGGCGGGACAATGGCCTAGAATTTTCCCAGATTTTTGCTCTCCTAAATAACGACGGTTCGGATCGCTACCTAATTTGCTTATGTGCATTGATTGTTGTACACTGTGATGAGGCGTGTGATATAAAGTCGATGGAATATGATTTCGACTAGTCACATGATATAGAGCCGATAGGAAATGCTTTCGGCTAGTGATATGATATAAATCAATGAAAAATAGTTATGGCTAGTGATACAAAGCTCAAGAGAAATTGTTTCGGCTAGTGGTACAAAACCAATGAGAAATGCTTCTGACTAGTGATACAACGCCAATGGGCAATGGTTCCAGCTAATGATATGATATAAAAACGATGAAAAATTGTTTCGGCTAGTTATAGGTTATAAAGCCAATGGAAAATGGTTCTGATTAATGATATTGTTCTGAAGGGAAATGATTTCGGCAAGAGTTTGATTATTATGATTTGATGCTTATGTTTGACATATTTGTTAACTGTGATTGATGCACTAGTTACTTGTGATTGATCTACTTGAGATTGAGATTAATGTACTTGATACGTGTTGATTGTTGAATTGTGACTATTGAATTGTTATTATTGAGCCTTGTGAGTTGTGTATTCTAGAACTTTTAGGTTGGGCTGATTTCTATGCATATTTTAGTTTGAGGAGGTTCGATTGGGATGAAAGGAGTACTCGATTTCTAACTTGTATTTTATTAGATTTCTTGTTGGGTATCGTGTTGTTGGTACTCACTCCTTGCTTCTACACTTGTTCAGGTTTCGAACCCAGTATAGCATGATTGTTCTTTCTCTCCCATTTCTAAGGCTTGTCAAGGACCTGTTGAGAGGTAGTTGCTTGTCATCCCGGCGGACCCTCCATTTCTTCTTTTAATGCTTTATTCTAATTGAGAAATAAAGACTTGAGACTTGTACTTATTTCTTTATTCTAAACCCTATGTATTAGTGGTTTGTACATGTAACAACCAGGGGTATTAATAAAATGAATAAGTTTTCTGCTTTTATCTTGTTCTTGCTTTATCTTTCTACATTTCTTTCGATTCTTTTGGGTTGAGGCTAATTTGTCTTAGTAAGGATAGACAAGTGTCATCACGTCCATTTTTTAGATTGTGACAAAATCACCCAGTATAAATCTATACACCTATGAAGAATTATAAGGATCTTAATATAGAAATTTTTGATAGCAAATATTGATGTCTTGGAGCAATAACGTAATTGTTAGAAAAAATAATAGGAAATAAAAATTGAAGAAGAAGAAGACTTTGAGACGTGTAATAACTTTCTTTAAAGAGATATTGCATGTATACATATTGAGAAAAATATAAACAAATCCCTTCAGAATACAACAAAGCCCTATGTTTATACATGCAAATTTTTCTTAGACTATTTCTAGAGAATATTTATATTTATAGAAGTTAAGAGATGACTTTTCATAAGATTCATGTTCTTTCATGATCAAATAACTTTTCATATGAGTCATGTTCTTTCATGAACAAATGACTTTTCACAACAATCATGTTTTTTCATGAGAAAATAACATTGCATCGTCCCATCATAATGCAATAATATGTAATTAGTTAATATTTAATAACTAGTAATGATATTCCATATGATATATTCTATACAAGTTCGAGTGTCTACTTGTGCACAGTCAAAGTTGGAGGAAATAAATATAAAATAAAGTTAATTAAAAAGGCATATTTATGTATTATATCAATTGGTCAAACATCTTTATCATTATCTTTTGGTAAGTGAGTAGGAAACAACTCATAGTTGACTCATTTCTCCTTCCAATCTAGAGAAAACTTGTAGTATATATAGCTACTACTAATCATATTTTTCAGACCATTCTAAAAATGCTTCACTAAGTTAATGAAGTAGTTATATTCTTGAGTCTTCCCATTGATTTCTTCAAGTACTAAGCAAGACGTGTTGTCATTCTATGAAAGTAATTTATATGCTAATTAATTTTCATTTCTTTTCTACCTTTTTTGTTCCTATTTTGCAAGATTTTTGTAAATTCATTAAATTAATTACCCCATATATACCTTGTATGTCTGCATTCTAAACATCAACTTTTAATGATCTCCAAGTCTAATGCTTTTTATTCTGTGGAGAGTTAACAAGGCTGTTTTTTGTTGGTTTATAGATCTTATAAGTTATCAATGTAACTTTTGTGATATATGGAATATTTTTGGGGAACATCTTATAAAATAATAAATAGTTCAACATGAGTTTAAGATGCGAAAATAAAGAGTTTTTTCGAGATCTTTAAAATTCTTTTTCATCTTTAATTAGATCTTTGAAATTCATTTTCATCTTTAGTCAAAGATATTTGAAATTTCTTTAGGGACACGATGAAATATAAATTGAAATATATGGGGTTTCAAATTTTAGGTTTCATGAAAAAAAGAATATTTTGATAAAAAGTGTTTTCTGTTTTTAAAATATCATTTTGGTGTGAATTTAGAATAGATTTTTCTACCATCCTTTTCTTGAAAAATTGTCACTTACGATTTATTTTTATTCACCCTTTTCTCTCTCCTTTTTGTTCATCCATAGGTCTCAACTGAATTTGTCTCTTGTGGACAAGCAATAATAACAATAATGTGTTAACCCTAGATAAATTTGAATTGACTACGTGAATATTCACTAATTTTTCTATTTGGTATAAGCTCAACATAGATAATTAACTAATACGATATATTTTTTTTCTATATTATACGTCGCGTTAGATGTTTTAGATATGACTTAAGACACTCCTAAAAAGCATAAGACCTAACTTAAATTTGTTATAATGACAAATGTGTATAGGTGATTTGAGTTTGATTTGTATTTTTTAAATAATTTTGAAGTCTTCATTGGTAAAAAAGTATATAGTAATGGAAATGGAGTTATTCTATAGATTCGTAATTACTAAGTACTACCACCTTTCACGATAACCAGACGCTCCATTTATGTTACTACATGAGTTTAACTCTTTCTGAATATATATTGCTTCAATAAAATATTTTTTTCACTTCCTTATGCAATATATTTGGAACCAAATAATTCTCTTGTTCTAGTATCTTGATATGTTGTTTCTTTTCATTTGCAATTATTTGGAACCAAATATTTTCTTAATTCTGGTATTATATGATCACATATGCATGATATTGAGTTGAATTGATACAATCTTAAATTTGTTCAGAAATAAAAGATGGAAGGTCATAGTGACATGAATGAGAGAAAAGAAAGTTTGATTAATGTTGTGATAGGAAGACCTGGAGAGGAAGAAATAGAGAGAAGTTTTATCGGTGACAACATAACTGGTGGTGCATCTGTAGATGAACATGGTGAATCATCATCGAAGAGGAAGAAACCCATTAGGCATAATGCCGATCAAATTCAAGAGCTTGGATTGTAAGTATAATTCTAATTTATTTTGTACTTGTTTAATTTCTTGTTAATTTTGATTTTTTGATCATTGTTTATTTTATACCATTGGGAATAGGTTTTTCAAAAAGAATTCACTTCCTAACAAAAAAGTACGACTAGAACTTGCAACAAAATTATCCATGGACATCAACCATGTGGAAAATTGGTTCCAGAATAAAAGAACCCAAATGAAGGTGATGCATATCACATTTATTTCCCTTAATTTATGTTTTTATTATGTGAAATTTGTATAATTGATTATAAAAATGAATTGTGTTATTTTATCAGTTGCAATTGGAATTGTACGAAAATAAGACTCTAAAGCAAGAAAATGACAAGCTTCACATAGAGAATATTGTAATGATGGAAGCCCTGGAAAATTCAATTCGTGACAATTGTAAAGAAAACATTGATGAGAATCAAATAAAGATTGAGCATGACCAATTGGAAGATGAAGTTAAAAGGCTTACCACCCAAGCGTACAAATTAAGCTTATTTAATAAAGATGTAGTGCAGGATAAGATGGTGTTATTGAATCTTGCTATGGATGCCTTGAATGAGCTTTTTAGGTTGTATGAGAATGATAAACCTCTTTGGGTAAGCAGTTTGGATGGAGGTGGAGAAACGTTAAATATTAAGGAATATGCTCGATTGTTTACCCCATTAATTGGCACGAAACTTGAGCATTTCACAACGGAAGCCACAAGGGCATCAGGTACAGTGGCTGACACCAGTTTGGCATTGGTGAATACACTAAATGGATAAGGTACGTAGGCTCTTCATTTTAAAATTCAATGTTTTCCTCTGTACTCATTTTTTAGAACTATCATCTCCTTACCACCTACCCCTTATTTGATATAAATAATTAGTTCTTTTTATTTTATTCTTTTTAATTAGTTGTACTCTTACTTTTACTATATTTGATATATCCTTTTATTAGGTTTTTTAGTGGTGCTTCAATTAGTTGTTGCATATTATTTTAATCAATCAAATTTAACTTCAAGTGATGAAGACAAGTATGTGTTGACATGTTATATTTATTTTTGTTATGTACTGTATTGTATATATGCAGAGGCAGTGGGTAGAGATGTTTCCATGCATTGTTGGAAAAACATATACTACTGATGTGATTTTCACTAGCATAGGTGGAAATAAGAGCGGTTCTCTGTTATTGGTATTTCTATTTATTTATTATTTTGATGAAAATTACATATCTTATTTATTTTATAATTCCATGCACTAACAACTTGAAAGTAATGATTTGCAGATTAAAACCGAATTGCAAATCATTTCTGACCTAGTTTCTGTTCGCGAAGTACAATATCTTCGCTTTTGTAAGAAACATGCTGAAGGTGTCTGGGCTATCATTGATGTGTCTGTTGACACAATTCAAGAAGCTTCACAAGAGAGCGAAATTGAAAATTGTCGAAGGCTCCCATCTGGCTGTATTTTACAAGATATATCGAATGGTTATTGCCAGGTAATTCAAAATAAATTATCTTTTTATTTTGCATTTCATAGGCCTTTATATTTTTGTAAATTCAATGAGCTAGATCGCTCATATTTTATTTATTTTATTCTTGTTGATTTTTTTTTATTGATTTTTTTTTATAATACAATCTATGTATTCATTGTAGTGCTTTGTTCTCTATCTCAATTTTTCATTATTTATTCGGAATGAGAAAGATCAACTTTCTTCTAGCTTTGAGTAATGCAACTATTTAGTAATTGTTTGAAACATACTAATATTCTTTCTTGATTAAAGAATTTTCTTTTTATTATTCTTCACCTTCTAACCATGCAATAAAATTCTAATTGTCTAATTTTTTTATACTCACTTTCAAATTAATATATTTAGATACATTAATTTTTTCTGCAATTTTTTGTTTCCATGTATCCTGGCATCATACCAAATGCAAGACCTAAATATTTTTGCACACCCCTCCTTCCATATTTATTGGCAAGACCACTAGAAATCTTTTTGTAGGATACATTCCTTATGATTGACTCTTTTATTTAATGGCTGAATTTTTTAAGTTGTCTCTAATAATGGCCATTTTATTTTAATAAATAATTAAGTTAATATTTCATGCAAGCTCATATTTTTCTCTCTAGTGATTTTGTAATATTGATGAAATATTTCCAGGTTACTTGGATTGAGCACATGGAATATAATGAAAATCTTGTCCACGATTGGTATCACCCTTTGATAAATACTGGTTTGGGATTTGGTGCTCAAAGATGGATGTCTACTTTGCAAAGACAATATCAGTTCTTGAAAGTGATGAAGTCAATTATTGATCCCATAGGTAATCATGCATAGAGGTTCAATTATTGTGCCATTTATTTTTTTATACTTTTGAATATTATAAAGAATTGATTCTTATGTAGCTTTATTTGTGGCAGTTGATTTAAGTGGTCAGAGAGGTATAAGGATGTTGGCTCAACGCATGACGCATAATTTTTGTGCGGGGGTTTGTGCAACCTACTCACTAATTGGGAAATAATTCAACTAGCAAATGAAGAAAAATTCCAAATTAATGATGAGGACGAATATTATTGACCTTGGTGAATCGACTGGTGTGGTGTTAAGTGCTACAAAGACAATCTGGTTACCAGTGAAACACTAGCGTTTGTTCAAATTCCTCACTAATAAACACATACGGAGCCAGTGGGATGTCTTGTCTAATACTTGTCCCATGAAACGAATGATCAATATTTCAAAGGGTCAAACTGTCGACAGTAACATTTCCCTCTTTTTTCCTCATGTGAGTGGTTAATTGTAGTGCTTTTTTTATACATGATTGAATTAGTTTTTTTAATTAATTGTTAATTTATAAATAATCTTTTCTTTTGATTCGGACATGTAGGGTGATGATTCTGGTGCTAATCGAGTGATCTTGCAAGATACTTGCATGGATGCAACTGGATCTCTTTTGGTTTATGCTACAATTGATTCACAAGAAATTAATACCGTGATGAAAGTGGGAGACTCTTCTTGTGTGACTCTCTCCTCAAATGGAATAACAATAGTCCCGGATTGTTTTCAAGATTTTTCTACAACTAATAACTATAATGTTATTTCTGGGGAGATGAATAATGGGTTCGGTGGTGGATCGTTGGTGATTATCAGCTTTCAAATGGTGGGGAACATCTTTCCAACTACAACTCTTTCTATGGAGTTGGTCAAAGAAGCAAATGCACTCATCTCACACACAATTCATAAGATCAAGAGTGCTCTTAAATGCAAGTGATATTTGAAGACTATCTACCATCCATTGATATGTTATGTGTTTTGAGTCTCTACTGTCTTTCTTGATTTGGATCATAAAATTATTAGATTGTACTATTTTGAGTTTATCTAAAAAAATCATATTAATATTTGATTCTCTATTGCTTATTTGATTTTGTTTTACATTAATGTTCTTGATCTCAAGCCAACTTTATAATAATCTAAGCGAAAATTAACAACTTTTTTTTTAAAATTAACCAAATTTTGAATCTCACATTTGTTATTAAATACTATCATTTCGCATTTAACAAACACATTCACCTAATAAATATAATGTAGCTTATCGGGAATAAAAATGAATGTATCATATATAAAACTTTGAAGTGACAAATTTGATTATTGGCTAAGTGTTGAGAAGTAACGTTTAACTATTTGAGATTTATAGAAATTTTGAAGTGGAAGCATCCTGAGGAATATGTTTGATAAATTCATTATCATCATAGATTACTAGTAATAATAAAATGTAAATATTGGCTATATTTTCAACATAAATAAATAATTATTATGTTTTACTTTCAAATAAATAAAAGCGAAAATGCATGATTACACCCCAACCTGAACTATACAAAAAATTTCAAGCACACACACTTTATATTTGTGGGAGTTTTATAACCCCTTGAACTTTTTAAAAGTTGAATAAGTATTATCTTAACTACTGACTTGGAACAAATTCAACTATATTAGAAGAGTGAGTTCAAAATGAGTTGCTCGGATGGTAAGCACCTCTCACTTCCAAACCGAAGGTTGTGAGTTCGAGTCACCAAGGGAGCAAAAAGGGGTGGGAGCTCCTAGGGAGGGTCAAAAATAAAAAAAAAATAAAAAAAAGTAGTTCAAAATGAGTATCAACATGTTTGCTTCCTGTCATTCAATTCATATTTGAGGGACACATATTGATATGACTTCAACATCTCTTCTATTTTCCATTCTTTAGCGCAAGTGGGAGGAATTGCAGTGTTCTTTTATTTATTTTTTCCCATTCTCTCTCACTTGCATCTTCCATTCATCTCTATTGTAATTTTCAGGTATTCTTTTTGTTATTATTTTTTTTATGTTGCTCTCCAATATTTTTTTTAAAGATATTCTTCCTTCGTTTTAGTGAGTTTCTATTTAGGCATATAATGTATTTGGTTATGTGTCTTAAAAACTTTTTATTCTTCTCTCATTGATAGTTATCTTACCTGTTTTTGATCTTCATCTTGCAATTTAATAAATTAAGATAATTTATGACTTTAGTTTCTAATGTATTCTTGCTATTCGTCATTTTTCAAGATATTTTTTCAAAGCAAAATTATCATCTATGTATTATTTGTGTGTCAAGTTAATAATCGACAACTAAAAATATACTAAGGAGTCATCATTTTTATTTGGTGGTTTTTCTCTTTCTTTATAGTTAAAGATTAAACTAGATAGTCAGCTTCATAATTTGAACTTTGACTTGTACGCCAATTGTGGACTCTGAGTTATTGAGTTGTCCCTTGGGAGAACATATGGTTTTTCCTTTTGTACTTCTTTTGATATGGTAAAATAAAATGCTTCCACAAATAGTCCTCAAATTTTGAAGTCTAAAATATTTATGGAATTTGATATTGTAAGTGTCAACACCTCAAAGCTACCCCAGGACGCGGACATGCGACCTAGAATCACGAGTGACCCCAAGCTAACCCTGCTGGAATATCATAAACATGCTAAAGTAAATTGAAGTAAAGAAATATTGTGCAGAAGTTAAATCATCATTTAAGCTGAAATGATGGGGAATACCCATATACTATCTGAATATATATAAAAACTGAGAGTTTAACAAATGCTGAAAGGTCGAACTCAAGTGCTAAAGATGAAACTAACTATGTCTGAAAATAGCCTCTAATTGAATAGAAGTGCTGGGTCATGCCCCAGCTAAATCTAGCAAAAACTGAAACTAAGACTAAAAGCAAAGGAAACATGTATGTCGTCTTCGGAGAATGAGGACTCACCACTGATGTTGCTGAGCTGAAGATCGAGAACCGATATATGCATGATCTAGAAGTTGAGAACCTGAACCTATATCACGAGAAGATGTAGCACAAAGTATGTGTCAGTATTTGAAAGGTATTGAGCATGCAGGATAGAATAAAGCTGAACAACATACATAACTGAACAAAGCATATAACTGAGAAATGATATGAGATAAGCATGATACTATACTGAAAATACTTAACATGAAATGATTGAATGCAATGATGTGGTTTATAACATGCTGACACTAAAATCTGACTGTAACTGATAACATGGTCAATGCAATAGATTCTAACTGTAAGGGATCTACTAATAACCGACATAACACCACATAAGCTAAATGTGGAGTCCGATGTATATGCCCCATCGAGAGGACCCAATATAACCTGCCAGAGGTATAGAGGCATGACTGGCGTGATCACTAAAATATAATGCCCACATAGGGTACTAATAAACCTACTGGGCATGTAGTTCTGGGAATATTCGGGTACGCTGAACCCTAGTCCACTTGGTATTAAGCTACTCCCAATTGATTATGTAATTAACAATTTATGCCTGATTTTCTGTAATACTGAATAGCTCAAAATACTGACATGCTAACTGAAAATGAAACATTAATGTACTAATAATGAAACATTAGAAACTAAGGCATGTATAAATGAAATAACAGCCTAGCATGTGTACTTCATGATCTAAAAGAACTATATAGCTAGGGTTCTGAATTTATGAAGGAATCTACGCAAAACAATACTAAAAATCATGATAATCTTATTTGGATCATTCCAACAGCTAAAAAACCCAATAAATTTCTAACATTAAAACAACCCTAGGTCTAGATAATATTAAGGGAATACAAGATTCTGACTGAAATCTAGGGACCTAATGGGTGAAACAAACCCACTAGTGAAATCCCACATACTTGGTGACGAATTCTACGGAGAAATCTTTTGCTTTCAGGGCTGGAAATGATGAAAACTCATTGTGTTCTTGAACTAGGGCTGCTAGTCTTTCCCTCTGATTTTTACTCTAATTTTTGCTTGATTTAGGTGAATAATTGATTAGGGTAAGTTCTAATTAGTTTACTAGGCTAAAATTGACCAAAACAACGTAGTTTCGGGACCTTGGTCCAGGGCCGGCAGTGGACCTTGGTCCAGTAGCCACTGATTTCGGGACTCCCTTCTACGGTCCACTTAACGGACCGCGTGAAGGATCACAGACCGTGAAGGTCCTCGTGGTCCTTCACCTGGGCTAAGGGCTACACTGGCTCGACTTCACGGAAGCCACCACGGCTTGTCATCAAGACCACGGCCAATGAGGGTCCACATGGTCTGATGTCTGAGCCCGATGGATTCTGTTTGACTTCCAAGAGTACCAGCACGGCTAGTGAGGTGGTCCACGACTCGTGAAGGGCTCTATGGTCTACCCCGACTGGAAGGTAATGGAGTCCACGGGCAGGTCAATGGACCGTGGACCTTATCACGGTCCGTGAACCCTACCGTGGTTCACCGATTCTGGTGATTTTCTACTGCATTTTTTAAGTCTGGGTTCCTAGGTGTTACAGTAAGCTTACTCAAATTGATAAATAAATTCAACTAAATAATATTTGCATTTCTTTGAACTTTATGTTCACATTTATTATTTCTAATTAGTTGAACTATTGCAAATAGAACAAAAATTCTTCCACTGAGGTTGAAAGATAGTTGTCTTAATTATTTTTACTTTACTTAACATTTTATTTTATCATTTGATTTTCCCGGGGGGTTTTGAAGCAAAGAAGACCTCAAATGGTTTCTTTCTGCCACATTGCGTTGTAGTTTTGAAAATCCAGATTGAAGAAAATCAAGAATATATGCTACAAGCCTGATACCTTAAAAGGTACGTCACCCACCTAGCTCAATTCTACTGCTACTAGCTACCTTCTCTACCTTCATTAGTTAAACACTTCTACTGTAATTAACAAGCAACTCATTATTAATGTCTGTACAGGTATTTGTCAAGCATGGCGTCACATGACAATACAATGAAAACTGTGAACAAGTAAATGATATTCAACAACAGAGTCGACATGTATTTTGTCAAACACGACACTGTAATCATAACTATGAAGTTTCAAATGGCTACCAACGATATAGTAGGCATATGTTAGCCAATTTCGAAGAACCAAATGACTGTGACATAGTATTTGGCTGTGTTGCTATTTTGGCATATATAAATAGTATGCATGTATCCACGGGCATCTGTGCACTCATTAATGCTATTTTCTTATTATTTTAACTTTTTCTACTTATTTTTTTTTTCTTTTTGTTTTTTCCTTCCTTCTACTTCAAAAATTCATTGTCATCTTCATTGAACCTTCTCACTTTTCAATGTCACTTTTTTACCACAACTCCATCTCCCTTTTTTACTACTATTAGTTTAACTCTCTTCAATTTTAAAATTATATCTAAATATTTTATTATATTTCGATCAATTTGATAAACCTATTAGATTTCAAGATGATTAGTAGGTATTATTTAGTTTTTTATCCAAAATTTTATCACACTTATTCAATTTTCGTAGAATTCTGACTCTTTCAAAATTATCATTTCTTGTTTGGAAGTTATATGAAAATGAGATAAATTAATTGATGATACCTTCAAAATTTGATTTTCTTAGAAAAATAATTAGTTTTGTTATCAATAACTCAACAAAGTCTAGAAAATAGTATAATTTTGGAAAGAAAGGAATTTGACCTAAGAAGTAGAAGTAAAAAGAAATAAAATGGAGGGGATCAACTTGACATGGGGGTGGGGTGAGGCGAGGGTGGGAGGTGAAGAAGAAGAAAGAAAGAAAATGGAGGGAGGGGTAGCTTGAAAGTAGGGCTGGAAGATGAAGTAGAATTTAAAATGAAATTAAAATTAAGTAATAAAATTAAAATAAGTCAAAAAGTAAGAGAGGGAAATAAATAAAAACTTCAAATGAAAAAAAGTT